TTATACAATAATAACAGCATTGTAAAGACAAATAACCTTGAAAGACTGAAGAATCCTGATCAATGCAATGATCAACCACAGTTCCAGGGGATCAATGATGGGGTAAATTACTTGACCCAGACAGATGCAGAAGGAGACATATTTTTGGACATGGCCAATATGAGAATTTGTTTTGCTTGACAATGCATATTTGTTAAAAAAAAAAAAAAGGGTTGATTTTGTTTTTTTCTTTTTTTTCAAAGAGTAGGGGAAGAGGTGAAAGGGAGAAAATGAATGCTTGTTAATTTTTTTTAAATACAAAAATAAAAAGAAAAAACCTCAATCTATTGAAGGAGGGATGTGGAGGAAGGGTTAGGATATATATATATATATATATATATTTTTTTTTTTTTGAAAAGTAAAAATTGCCCCTATTTCTAGACATTCCACTTCCTCTCCTATTGTTATTATTATTGTTGTTATGGTTAGCTGACTTTTTATAGTACCTGACAGTTTACAAAGCATTTTGCAGCCATTACTTAACTTGATCCTTGCAACAATTCTATGACATAGGTAATGTTGAAGTAGGTAAACCAAGTCAGTTTGTTCTGTATTTAGTGATCAGATACATTAGAAACAATATTTTATGAGAAAAAATAGAATTATAAAAAATATTCAAACAAACAGCTGCTGCCCAGCCCTTCTCTAACAACAAATGTCCTACCTTGACATAAGAAGTCTGGATCTTATATGATCATGAAAATTCTCATGGAAAGCTAGTAGTTTATAAACTTAGAGGCCTACTTAATTTCTATTTAAGCCTTGTGTGTTACATAATTTTAATATAGCTATAAATTTGAAACCCTATGCCAGCATTATGTAGCAGACAGAGAACTGACCTTGGGGCCAGGAAGACCTGGGTTCAGGTCCTACTTTGGACACATATTGGCTTGTGTGACTCAGCCAAGGCACTTACTTGTTAGTGTTCTAGGAAACTCTCTAAGACTAGACATTTCACAGAAGGTACTGAACTGCATTGGCATATAGTTCCTCAGAGGGAACTCCCTAAAATCACTGGTTCTGTCCCTAATCCCTATCCCCATTTTACAGACAAGGAAACTGAGAAGTAACTAGGGGGCATATTGGATAAAGTGCTGGGCTGGGTGGCAGAGACCTGAATGCCAAGTATTAGCTGGGTGACCCTTGGCAAATAACCTCTCTCCAACCTCAGTTTTGCCATCTGCAAAATAAGAGGGTTTAACTTAATGGTTTTTCAAGTTCCTTTCAGCTCTAAATCTATGGTCCTATGACTCAGAGATGATAATTTTTTCAAGGTTAACCAGCTAAGATTGAAGGCTCTTTCTGACTCAAAAGCTACTACTTCTTTCCAGGACACTGCAGCTCCCCTGGTACTATGTCCAGTCTTTCCATGCTACGTCCCTTTCTCCTTGGATTGTTGGAAAATTCTTTCTTTTGTCTATCTCAACAATATAACTGATCACTGAGGATCCTATATAACTAGTAGGTCTGATGGATCATCAGATTAAAAGGCCACTAGGATTATGGGGCCAACACAAAAAGGGTGAAAGAGAAGGATATTGCAGGGATAGGGTTAGTGAGGAGGCAAAGGGCTTTTGCCCATCTTCTGTCTCCTTGGAATGAAGCTTTCACCTCTGCCCCAGCTCTGCTACTTTTGTATCATCTACCTCCCTGCCCAGGACCACCATCTTACATTTGTTCTCAGTCCCATCCAGCTCTAACATCACGTTGTCCAGCTTCTCCTGCTCCACCACAGAAAGGCCCTGTAGAGAGATAGTCATTTTTATTCCTGGGGCCGGGACAAGATGGGGAGGGGAAAAATAGGCTTTCTCCCCAGGACCAAATCCCTGTTTATTACATCCTGATTACCCCATTCCATTTGGAAACAATATATCATAGAAACTACTGGGGGGCAATTTGGGCATCCTCTGGTGGGATTATCAAATTTCAGTAGGATCCTTCCCCAGGCCCCATATCCAAACAGAGTGTCCAAGAGACAGAATGGTCCCTTTCCTTTGAATCCAATGAAAGCCTATGATACATCCCTCTTTCCCCCCCAAGAAAGAGAAGAGCCTCACAGAACTGATCAGTGCAGGAGCGATGTTATTATTGATGTGATCCACAGCTTTCTGTACACCTGAGAAGAGGGAAGGAAGCCAGGACTAGGATTGAAGTCAGGAGGAAGAAAGGAGATTCCAGACAAAGAAAAGACCAAGGAGTGTGGTAAGACAGACAAGTGGTCCAGGGGCCTGGGATGATATGGGAAACAGGGTGAAGGAAAGAGATGCTAGAAGGAGAAATGAAGGAACTAGTGAGAATATAAAGGGAGAAACAGGTAAAGGGGCCTCACCTTTGCCCAAGTAACGAAGTTTGTCCCCATCCCTCAGCTCTAGTGCCTCATAGATGCCAGTAGATGCCCCGCTGGGCACTGCTGCCCGGAAAAGACCTGAGAGCAGGAAGGAAGGAAGTGGCAGCATATGAATTGGGAGTAGAGGGAGGATGCTACTTGGATAGGGATCTCTTCATTTTTTCAGAGTCCTCACTCCCACCAGCATTTCTCCAGCCATGCCTAGAATCCCTAACTACACATAACATTTCCAAAACATAGAAACAGGCAAACACAGATACATAAGCCTGGAAACAAATGCAGCTCTTGACTTGGATGACCAGGAACAAAACTACCATCCCTACGTAGCCAGGAAAATACTATCCATGCATGGATACATCCCAGGACCCTCTTCCCTGTGGAATTCATCCTCTGCTGGTGCCCACTCCACACAGCAGCTGTGGACTCTAAATCAGTGCACTCCATGTGCTCCAACAGCCAGTTAATCCTAGTAAGGGTTATATTTATGGTGGAGATGGACAGTGTTAGGATGGGAGACAACCCTGATAGAGGATTCAATCCTTATTCATTACCTTTGGCTATGTAGAGATCCACCTCCACTGTAGGATTACCACGGGAATCCAGGATCTCCCGGGCATGGATGCGCTCAATTGACATGGTGGCTAGAATCTACTGGTGGAGAAAAAGGGGAGGAGAGAAGTTAGATGCTGAAGGGGTGGGGCTAGTGTGGGAGGGGCAGAGAAAGGGAGGGACTGGGAGGAGGTCACTGCAGTAAGGGAGGAAAAAGCTGGCTGCAGTGAAGAGAAGGGAGAAATGGAAATGCCCCCATCCTGGGGAATGGGGAGGAAAAAAGGAAGGTCACTTCATCAGGAAAAAAAAAAGAAAAAGGGACATGACTATAGGGAAGAGGGGTCCTGCAGTGAGGGGATGGAAGATCTGGCTGCAGTGAGGAGAGGGGAAAGGAAGAAGTTCCCTCATGGTGGGGGTGGAAGGGAAGAAGGTCACTGCATAAAGAAAAAAGGGACATGATTTTGGGAGTTGGGGCCCTGTAATGAGGAAAAGAGGCTTAGTGGAAAAGCATTCCATGGGAAATGTGGACCTCTCTCCCCCTCAGTAGTGCACTTACCAGCCGGCTGGGATTTCCCCAAGGTATACCTAGATTGGGAGTGGCCACCAAGCCAGCCTCTTCTCTGGATGCTAAGAAGAATGATGAGTAGCCAAGGTCTCCCCTCCCCCGACAGATGGTAAAAGCCCCTTACTTGAACATCTATGACTCACATCCTCAGATTGTCAGCCTCCCCCACCCTTTCCCCAGTAGCAAATCTCTCTCCAAGGCTCCTGCACACGCATTTCTTCTACTCCCCAAAAGCTGAGCATGACGGGGGAGGGGCAGAAGAGACATGGGAGGTCTGGGGAATCAGATTCTAGTCTAGTGGGGGGCTGTACTGTAATTGAAAAGGGGGCAGAGTGCTAAGGCTGAGAAGACAGTACCCATCCACACCTCCCCAGCAGACTGACATTCCCTGCATAGTCAAAAAATGAAGGAAAAAAATGGGGAGAGGAGAGTGGGGAGGAGGAAGTTATATTAGGGAACGTGAGAGACTAGAAAGGGGCATCCCCAAAATGCAGAACCAAGGAATTGAGTCAAGATGGAAAGAAACAAAAATAGTAACATCAATAAAAATGAAGGTGTTGATGAGAGTTAAGTTAAAAAGAGGCAGAAACGTAGAAGATTATGACACAGGTTATAAAGCAAATAGAGAGATTTTCAATCAGAGACAGCAATAGAAACACAGATGAGGTAATAAGCAAGCCGATAGAAAATATGGAGACATTTAGCAAGGGTCATAGACACTATATTGGGTGGGTGGGAAAGGGCTGGGCTTTGGGAGAAAGATGATGGAGCAGGTGCGCGAAGCCATTCTGGAAAGATGATTAGGGGATGGATGGCAGGAGGGGGACGAAGGACCGAGGAGAGATGGCGAAAAGGGGGCTGGGGTCTCACCTTCCTGCGGCAGAGCGGGCGGCAGCGCGGAGGGAACGGGAGCCAGGAACGGGGCGTGGGCCGCTGCAGATCCCGGGCGGGCAGGCAGGCGGCAGAGAGCGGACCCGATAGGGCCTGCAAGACGCATGTGACCCGGAGCCCCGATGAGTCAGAAGGCGCCCGCTGAGCCGCACGTAGGAGCGGAGCTCAGGTGGGGGAGTCAGGAGACGGGCGGGAGGACCGGGCTGCAGCCGAGGCGCGCGCACAGACACGCACACACACACACACGCACACACACGCACACACACGCGCACACACGCGCACACACGCGCACACACACAGGGATTCAGGCAGGGTCCCACATCTTTACTGACCCTGCCACGCACAGAGGACCTAGATTTTAACTGACACTGACACACTGGCAAAGAGACTGGAAAATTCGGTGATATACACTGACGGTGACATCCAGGCACACAGACTGTCATACAACCTGGCAGACACTGACACAGTCACAGAAACTCAGTGTTACACGCTCACACCCATGTACAAAGGTCACAGGACGCCAGTGGCATGAATCCCTTTATTGAAAAAATAAGCAATTCAGCCCACCCAGGTCGGCTCTCGAGCACAGCTCTCCCCCCACCCCCATTTGTTTTACCAGACCAGTGTTTAAATTCCCCTAGGTCTGTCCCTTCCCCTTTCAGGTTTGCCTGGATCCTGTTAAGCTATCTGACTGTTCTACCTCCCTCTTCCCCAATACCCCCACCAGTTCTGCTGAGAAAAAAAAATAAAAATAAAAGTGCAAAACAAGGAATTCTCTCTAGGTCTGCCTTCCTTCTTTTCTCTGCTTTCTTTATCACTCCTTTCACAGATCCTGAGCTGAAGGTGCTTCCAACTCCTGGGATCCAGGGGGAGGAGGAATGAATGGGACCACTTCCTCCAAGGATGGACTAAGGATATGGTCTTTCCAAGGGAAAGAAGAAAGTGATGAGAAGATCAGTATCACACACACTGGTGCCTCAGACCACAATTTCATCGGGGTCCTGTGGAGAGAGGACAGAAGTTCAGATTTTCCTTCCTAGGCCCAGCTATGTTCCTGTTTCCCTTCCTCCTATCTCTTCTTCTCATCCCTATCTGTATCCTTTCCTCTATCTTCGTGTGTCCTTTCCCCCTAAGTGTTCCACTCCTCCTTCTTCTCATCCACCATTCTCTTGGTCCAACCTCTGTTGCTGACCCCTCTTCTTCTCTCCTCCCATCTCCCTTGCATGTCTTTCTCCCTCCCTCCTCCCTCATGGTTATTTTTAGTTTCAGATTTTTAGTCCTAGTTTTTTCTCTCCTGGCTGCCTTTTTCACTAGGTCCAGCTGTGTTCCTTTCTATTCCCCCCTGCTTCCATCCTCTCCCTTATCTTCTTTTTCTATTTACTCTTTGCCTACTAGTCTATATTTGCATAGGAATCTCCCCCAAATTCACTTCCCTGGTCTTCTTGGCTCCTCATTCCTACCCTTTACCCTAGCTCCCAAAGAATCAAAACAAGATCATAGAATTATGGGTGAAAAGAACTGAAGGGATCATTTAGTCTAACTCTTACATTTTACAAATCAAGAAACAGATATAGAAAGGTTAAGGTATACGCCCAGAGTCACAAGCAACAAGGCCAAAGAGGCTCTGACTGCAGACACAGTGTTTGTAGAGGCGGATGAAGTTAAAGGTTGAATAGCACAGAAAGCTGGGCCTGGAGTCAAGAAGATCTGAGTTCAAATCTAACCACAGACACTCCCTAGTTGTGTGACCCTGAACAAATCACTGAACCTCTGTTTACCTCAGTTTCTTCACCTGTCAAATAGGGGTAACAGTAGCATCTACCTGACAGGGTTGTTAAGAGGGTCAAATGAAACAATATTTGTAAATCACTCAGCTTTACAATTATGTGCCCAGTAGCTGCTATAGAAATGTTTAGTCCTATCCCCCTAGCCGGTGACCCCATCCCTGATTTGTTCCAATATCATACAGCTTTCTACTTTTCTTCTAGCAGCCTCAGACAAGCTTTCTGTAAATCTTCCCACCTCCCTCTCCCCTTAGGCTCTTGTATCTCTCAACTCCCATTTGCCCCTCACACAACCACTGGTGCTTCCTGCCCTCCTTCATTCCCCCATTCTGAGAGCCCAGACTCATGTCCCTCTAAGGTTTTTCTTCAACCAAGACCTCTTCTTTTACTTTTTTTTTTTATCTCCACCTTGTTCTTCTCAAGGAACCACCCCGATAGCCCCATTTCCTTTATTCCTCCCCCTTTTTGAAGAACCACGTCCCCTAGATTTCTCCTAGAGCCGAAGTCCCTGGTGCTCTGCCCCCACCCCATCCTTGCACCCACACCCTGTCCTTCCCTCTACCTCCTTATGTCCAAACTGATCCAGGTCCTGTTCCATGTCCTGCTCTTGCTCTTCCTTTATCCTCTGTCTGATTTCATCAGCCTCTGCCCGTTCTTCTTCCTCATAGAATTCCTTGTCCAGCCGTTCCAGTTGGGGTATCTGTATCAGGGCTTCTTGCCTGTAGTCATTTTCATCTGTACATGGGTTCTCCAACAGGATCAGGGCCCGAAGTCGGGGCAAATCTTTCAGACGAACCAATTCTGTTAGGTTTGTCACCACGTTCCCCCTGTAGAAGGGTTTAAAATAAATTTTTCTGTCTTCAGTCATATTACCTCTGAAGAGAGTAATTTTCCTATCATGTTATTCCCCTCCTTGATAAACTCCACTGGCAACCTTCTTCTTACAGGATCAAATACAAGCTTTTTTTCTGTTATATATTTTTTTCTTTTATTTGTATATTTGTATATTTGCTTTTATGTTTAACGCCCTTTTCACCCAATTCCAATCAATCTTTTCATTCATTGCTCCCTTTCATTAACACTACACTTAAGCCAAACTGGCCCGTCTATCAATTTATGATACTCTATCTGCTATAGTCTCTCTTCCTTTGTATAGGCTTCCCCCAGGCCTAGAATGAACTTCTTCATCCATCTCAAAGAAGTCATAGTTTTGTTCAACTCAAATGCCACATCTGAAGCTTTTTTTTTTTTTTTGGTGAGACAATCGGGGTTAAGTGACTTGCCCAGGGTCACACAGCTAGTAAGTGTCAAGTATCTGAGGTCAGATTTTAACTCAGGTCCTCCCGACTCCAAGGCCAGAACTCTATCCACTGTGCCACCTCTCCAGCTAATGTTTTCCCCTAAAAATCACCTTAATTTTAGTATTTATTTTAGATATACTTTTATACGCATTTAAGTATATACATGTTGTCTCCCCAGGTAGAAGGTAAGATCTTTAAGGGCAGAAACTGTTTCATTTTTGTTTTTATATCACCAGTATCGAGCACAGTGCCTGACATGGAGTAGGCATGTAATAAAGGCTTGTTGATTGATTGTAGAGAGCAAAGAACCATTTGTGGGCTGACCAGATGGGAAAATGGTGAGTGGTGGAAACTATATTTTGTGTACTTCTCCAGGTGCTGAACAGTGGCTTCTCCAGACACTGGTCATTGGCTGGACATCCTAAAGATTTGCTGAACCTGCTATCCAGATGCAGTCTCCTTCTACACTGGCTCCTACTTCTTTAGAACACTCCCATTTCCTTTAGCCCAACTACCATTACCCCTTGAAAGTTAAAGGGCTAGAGAGGAAAGATCTTAGGGAAGCAAAGGTGAAATTCAAGGAAAATCAAGGGGGTAAGGAGGCAGATGGACAGAAAATTTGGGGCATAGGAGGCAGGGTAGCAAGATGAAGCCAATATTGTTGTTTGTCCTTCATTTTCCAAGAGGGTCAATGACATCATGGGGTGACGTCTTGACTTGCTCATGAATTGCATTTAGGTGAGGCAGGGCTGGGCAAAGTCTCACTCTCTCTTCCAGAGTCATTGAGTCCAGTGGCAAGTCAAAAGTCATGCTTCGGTTGCTTTTGTGGTCACTGGAACAAATTGTTCTCATCTGCCCATTCCACAGGGGGACATCTTCACATGCTTGGGGGAGATATCCCCCTAACTCATCAATGGGTTTGAGGCCTATTGGTTACCCTTAATCTAGTTTAGTCCATCTTCTGAGAGAGTTTTATGAGGGTGTGGCACCTGTACCAATATAGGGAAAGAAGGAAGGAAGGAACAAAAAGAGGAGGGGAGAGAGGAAAGGAAAGAAGAGAAGGGAGGAAATAGGAAAAGAGGAAGGAAAGGAAGAAGGGAAGAAGGAAAGGAAGGAAAAGCAGGAAAGGAAGAAGGGAGGGAGAAAGGAAGGATTTATTAGATGCCTACTATGTGCTAGGCACTATGCAGTGCTTTACAGATATTATCTCATTTGATCCTCACAACAACCCTATTTTGCAATTAGGGAAACTGAGGCAGATGGAGGTTAAGAGATTTGCCCAGAGTCACACATATGTGTCTGAGGCCAGAACACAGTTCTTCCTGACTTCCGGGTTCAGTGCTTCATCCAATGTACCATCTAGATGCTCATAGAAGGGATTATCTCTGGGGAAGTGGAGGGATGGGAAGGTGGGAATTAAGAGGCGGAGGAGGCGGCCTTGGAGTCAGGAGGACCTGAGTTCAAATCTGGCTTCAGACCAAACACTTGACACTCACTAGCTGTGTGACTCTGGGAAAGTCACTTAACCCCAACTGCCAAAAAATTAAAAAAAAAATTAAAAATTAAAAAAAAGAGGTAGAGAAAGATTTTTAAAGTCCCAGGCTGGGGAGGTTTTAGGAATTTGGAGGGAAGAAAGAGTAAAGCTCCAACAGGTTAGGATTAGGAAGGGAGGGACACAAAAGTACCATCAGATTGGATAAAAGGAAAAGGTAAAACAATAATCAGGAAATAGATTCAGTTTGGGTAAGAATCCAGATGTAAAGTCAAAATCTGGGCCCAGATCCTGAGGATGGAAGAAGGTGGAGATGGGAGGGTGGCAAACATACCGAAGGTTGAGGTACTGCAGAGACTTCATTTCACGAGAGAAGCCAGTCAGAGAACTGATCTGGTTGTCCCGAAGATGCAACGTGGTTAGATAACTCAGTCCTTCAATTCCTTCTATTGTCTTCACCTGGTTCTGGGCCTACACAGAACAGGCTGGTTAAAGAGAGACAAACTGAAGAGGATTCACGGACAGAAACATGTAAAGAAAGAAGAAAAACAACACAGAGAGACAGAGATAAAGGTGAAGAGGAGTAAAGGGAGGAAAAAGATGGCCAAAGGAGAGGAAGTCAAGGTAAACTATTATCCCCAGAGAAAGCCAGGACCCTTTAGAGTTGGGCCACTAAGAAGGTTCAGTTTCTTCTACTGTCCTTCTCCCCCAAATTCTCTTACTTAGAAAGTCTCATGCCCAAAAGTCCTCGGTTTCTGCCTGAGAGTCACCAGAATGTCCCTGCTATAAGCCATACATATATTGTAGGAATAGAAAACTGCAATCTGGATATCTGGGTTCCCTTCCCAACTCTGTAACCAAGGGCCACTGCCCCAGTGGATCAGGATCATCGATGTCTTGGAAGGATGTCTTCCAAACCCTCTCAAGACCTATGATAGGGCCATGGTGAGGGTGAGGCCAACACAGAATGGTCCTGTCAGATGTTCAGATGATACAAATCAACCATGCCATTCTTCCCTCAGTCATAACACTAGTCATACAGCAAGACTCAGAGAGGATCTGCGATGTCCCCAAGGGAACACAAAGAGTTGGTCAGCACAGTTGTACTATAACTTAGCCATGCTGCCTTCAGGGTGCTTTCTACCCAACCCTTGAAGATTACCAAGAAGAGGTTCTTCAGCTTGGGGAGTTCCAGTCCCAGTGTACTCTCCAGCTGGTTCCCTCGGAGCTCTAATGTGTGCAGGTTCCCCAGCTTTTGGGGATCCAGGCCTGTTATCTTCTTGATGTTGTTTCCTAAGGAAGGCAAATGTCAGGGTGCATTTGAAATGGTTGTGTAATATACAACATCTAACCCAGAATGCCACTTGACACAGCAAAGGAAGGAGTCTAGTCAAGCATACAACACAATGTGTTGGAATGGAAAGAGCCTTGGATTTTAAGTCAGAAGACTTGGGGCAAATCTCTGCTACCTCTCTAAGTCTCAGTTTCCCCATATGTAAAAGCAGGGGATTAGCCTTAGATGGCCTCTGAGGGCCCTTCCAGCTCTAAAGCTGTGAGGCTGTGACCTTGGACCTGAGTCTCATCTGTAAAATGAAGGGATTGGACTAAATAATCTGTGTGGTGCTATGATTTAGCGATATTACACCTCTGCCCACCCAGAGAACACCTTTGAGATCCAGGCTGCCCAATCTGGGATGGCCGATGCCTTCGGTGTCAGTGATTTGGTTGTAGGCAAAGCTGGCAATCTGCAAGTAGGGCAGCTCTGACATCCGGGCACTCTGGAGCCGGTTGTGGTCAATCTTGAGCCAGAGTAGGTGAGTCAGGTGGTTGAGTGGCGACAAGTCCGACAGCCGGTTCCCAGACAGATCCACGTAACGGAGGTGGATGTAGGAGGACAGCAGAGAAATGTCAGTCAGTTCCCTGGACAATGGTGAAGGGAGGGAGGCCAGGGCTGCTGTTAGAATTAGGGACAGGGCATGATAGCTGGAGTGGGGAAGAGAGTGGCTGGAAGACTAGGGAACTGGTTTGCAGGGGAGGAGGGGGGAAGAAAGCCAGAGGGAATGAGTTGGGGAGAACAATGCAAAAAAACCCCAAACTTTTAAACACACTATCATGCAAGGCAAGAGGCAGTCTAGCCTATTGGATAGAGAGCAAGTCTGGTACCAGAAAGACCTGGGTTCAAGTTCTGCTTCTGACATATACTGACTATGTGACCCAGAGCAGTTTGCTTAATCTTTCAGTTGCATTGGAGGAGGGAGTTCTCCAGGGGCTCCCTCCACCAATGAAATTACAAGTCCTGTTCACATTCTGATGGCTGTGTGCAAGACACACTGCTAAACCCAGTAATACAACGACAAAAAAAATAATCCCTTCTCTCAAGTAATTTACACTCCACTGGAGTGACAGAACTCCTAGAAAAGTCAGTTCAAAGTATTTTGAGGAGGAATTGAGCATTTTCAACTGGGGGCAATCAGAGAAAGCTTCCCTTAGGAGGTGCTGTTTAAGGTGAGCCTTGAAAGGAGATAAAGACTCTGAGCCAGGGTGAAGAGGGAGTTTATTCCAATGTAAAGAAGTCTGTGATGTAATATTGAGTTTGGGGAATAACTAGTTGTCTAGTTGTCTAGCATCTGCTGGGGCAGATGATGCATTAAGGGGAGTGATGTGAAACAAGGCTAGAAAGATAGGTTGGTGAAGTCTATATTTTATCCTAAAGGCAACTGAGTCGATGTGATTATGAAAGATAAAGTAGATTCAATAAGAGGGAGGGGATGCCTCAAAGGAGAGCAGAATGTGTTAGAGAGGGAGGAAACTACAGTGAGAAGAGGGTTTAGGATGCAGTAGAGTGTAGAATGAATAAATGGTGGAAAGCAAGAAATAAAGAAACAACAGGTGAAATGAGGATGGGGATAAGGAAAAGCAAAGCTGGTGAAGTGAAAGAAGAGGGGATGCACTGGGGCAGTAGGTAACAGGAGTCAATATGAGGAAGGAAGAGTCAGGAAATCAGCACAGAAAGGAACAGTCCCTAGACCCCAGCTTTTCTTCCTTGCTTGCTTAGGAACGGTGCTCAGTGACCAGCTCCACTCTCCCTTCCCCACAGGACTAGAACAAAAGTGGTATAGAAACTTGGGGCAGGAGGGTAAGACTGAAGATTTCCATATTAACTGCAGCTCCTACAATGCACACCTGCTTCTCCCTTCCCCTTCCAACACATACACACTCACTTATCTTTGGCCTCCAGCTTCACATAAGCATGGGAGAGTCCACTGCCTGTCTTGCAGAGCAAAGAGAGACCTTCTTTCATTGTGTCCTCTGTGATGGGATTGGGGATGAACTGAAAGAGGACATAGGGTCAAGTGTACCTTTTTTTTTTTCACTCTCTAGGCAGTCCTGCTCATCACTCTGCTGTTACTTCTCTTTAGGGTCCCTCCCTGCCTATGCCCTTACCTCTTCAGCTTCTTCCCCTCCCTCCTTCTCTTCCCCTTCTTCTGCCTCTTTATTCTCTTTTTCCTCCTCTGGTTCATCCTGGTCTGTATCATATTCTTCCAAATCCTCATCATCAGACATCTTCCTTCCTGGGGCTGAGACTCCTTAAAGTGAAGGCTGGTCAAATCCTGGAAAGAAACACCGGTCCTGTGACTCTCTCGCCTCCTCATTCTCTCCAAGACGCCATCTCATCCAGCTTCAGTCCCAGGAGAACCTCCATCTTAGGGGAGAATGGTCTGTGTTCAGGTGAGGTGAGTCCCATTGTGCTATTTAGTGGGTTTCCCATCTCCCCTCCAGTTCAAAGAGAGGTGGGGGGAAGCAACCGGTGCCTGGGGTGAAGGCATGATAGACCCCCAACCCCTTGGTTTATTTTCACACATTTCTCTATCATCAGAACTCCCCCTCAATCCCTCTTTTCTCTGTTAGTGAATTTTCTGAAACTACTTAGTACTTCACTCCAAAAACCCTTTTTCTTCTCATGACTTCCTCCCCTTAACTCCCTCATTTCCCTCTTTAACTCTTTTATCCCTGTTCTCCCAGGGATCAAACACACACACACACACACACACACACACACACCCTAGATCCGACTCCCAGATCCCTTAAATACTCCTCTTCCACCCCGAAAACACGTAAGAAGAACTTCGGAGTTGGGAGTAAGGGTCTGAAAGAAGGAGATGAAGGAGCAGTTGGGGGAGGGTTGGGTTGTTGCGAAGGGTCAGGTTGTTGCGAAAGTGGTGAGGATCTGTGTATTGCTACTATAGCAACGGGGACGGGCCGTTGCCGAGACTGTTGCTGGTGGCAACAGGCAAAAAACCGATGGGCAGCATCCAGGGAGGATTGCACCACAGCCCGGAGAAGGTGGCTCCTCGGTTGCCTTGGTTATCCGCTCCCCCAATCCCTGGGATACGGGTAGGGGGCGGGAAGTAAATTAGGGCGCTAATTGGCCGAGGGAAGAGGCTCCAGGAGATTCCGATAGGATGGAAAGGCAGAGGGAGGAGCTTCGAGACTAGCCATTACGTCACCCTAGTCCCTTAAAGAAGTAAGCTTTCAAAATAAAGGCTACTTAATCAATTTGGACACTAAGCGGGAGGGAGGGGGTGGTGGAATGGATCTTAAGGTAAGGGGATTTTAAAGCTGACCACTAAAATAAATTTCTTCTCATCAATCAGTCAATCATCTGTCAATTTCCAAATGAGTTTGGGTTCACTGGCTGGCTGGCTGGTGAAAGATACTTGGTTTAGTGAAAAGAGCATTGGGACTCCCAGCTCTGCCATTGTGAGGTTCTGGAACAAGCCCTCTCTCTACCTCAAGTTCTTTACCTAAAAGAAGATTGGACTAAATGATCTCTTAGGCTCCTTTCAGCTGTCACAATCTATGCATGATTAGATTGTAAGGTACCCAGCCTCCCAGCTCCAACAGCCAACATTCTACAGATAGGTCCCATTCTTGACCAACATAACTGGGCTTGGGGTCATTTGGAGGACCCACTACCCAATGCCCATTATATCAGTCTCAAACCTTTGAGAATATGAAGTATAAAGGGAAGAGGTGGAGAGGCTACATATTCCTTATGTTATCCTTCTAATCATAGTATCAATTGAATTGCAAAATCTCACAGTTGGAAGGCACCTTAGTCCAACACCAACCTGAAGAACAGTTCCCTTTACCACACACTCCTGTCAAATGGTGGTCATTCAGCTTCAGCTTGCATGCCTCAAGAGGTGAAGAGCTCTCAGCCTCTTGGGAGAGCTCTTTCTGCTTTTTTTGTTTGTTTGTTTGTTTTTTTGGTTTTTTTAGGCAATTGGGGTTAAATGACTTGCCCAGGGTCACACAGCTAGTAAGTGTCAAGTGTTTGGTCCGAGGCCAGATTTGAACTCAGGTCCTCCTGACTTCAGGGCTGATGCTCTATCCACTGTGCCACCTAGCTGACCCAAATAAGTGAACCCCCAAGTCTTCAGACTTCTTTTTTTTC